TCTTGACCTCGTGATCCACCCGCCTCGGCCTCCCAAAGTGCTGGGATTACAGGCTTGAGCCACCGCGCCCGGCCAAACATTCTTCGTGTTAATACCAAAACCCCTTCCCATTTGAACAGCAGCTTCTCCCCCTACTAAACATTTCCTATGATTTTGGTGGGGCTGCCAGCCACAAGAATAGGTGTGTGACTGAATCCTGTTCTAAAATTTATATATGTTGTGGAGAGTGAGGACAGATCTTTACTTTTTACTTAAAACTTCTTATAAGCCTACATAATTTTAAAAGCCAAATATTCCTAAAAGCTTGCAGTTAAAAACAGTGGTGCCCTATATCATTTCTTCTGGTCTGATTCAGGCTCTACAGAAGCAACCACTTGTAATTATTTAGCTGTTTAGCTTAATAATAACATTAAGCATTTACTATTTACCAAGCACGATTCTGAACACGTTACAGGTATTAACTCATTTAATCCTCATAGTAGTCCTACGGGGGTGTCTAAACCTGCTGCCAAGACTGACACTTGAGTGGAAGGGGTGGAGGCCTCACTGTTGAGGATGCAGACTTCAACTTACACCTCTTATTTATTATTTATTTGTTTATTTATTTATTTATTTATTTATTTATTTTGAGATAGAGTGTCGCTCTGCCAACAGGCTGGAGTACTGTGGTACGATCTAGTCTCACTGCAACCTTGGCCTTCTGGGTTCAAGAAATTCTCCTGCCTCAGCCTCCCGAGTAGCTGGGACTACAGATGTGTGCCACTATTCCCAGCTAATTTTTGTATTTTTTAGTAGAGATGGGGTTTCACCATGTTGGCCAGGACAGTCTCGATCTCCTATCCTCGTGATCTGCCCCCCGTGGCCTCCCAAAGTGCTGGGATTACAGGCATGCGCCACTGAGCCTGGCCTATACCTCCTATTTTTCAGTTTGCCTCTCCCACCCAAGTTCAAAGTCCCTTAGGTTCAACATCTCTCAAGAGTAAACCTGCAGGTCTTGCAACGGGAAGGGCAGGTGGTCATACAAAGGAAAGGAATGAATGAAGGAATCTACTGAATCCTATACAGCCTTTCAAACTTTTTTTTTTCCTTGAGACAGGGTCTTGTTCTTGTTCTGTTGTCCAGGCTGGAGTGCAATGGCACAATCTCACCTAACTGCAACCTTCGCCTCCTGGGTTAGAGTAGCTGGGATTATAGGCACGCACCACCACACCCGGCTAATTAGTAGAGACGGGAGTTTCACCATGTTGGCCAGGCTGGTCTCAAACTCCTGACTTTACGATTGCCTGAGTCAGCCTCCCAAAGTGCTTGGATTACATGTGTGAGCCACTGCGTCCAGCCTCAAACTGTTTTAAGCTCTAAATTCAATTCCATTTTTAGAGCTTATCTGGTGCTTCATGTCCTTCCAGGGTTCTGTAGTGAAAAGAAGCTTGCTTCTTTTTTTCTTATTTTTCTTTCCAAAAGAAAAAAAAAAAAAATTTAACTGCTTTATTGAGGTATAGTGGTTTGCTTCTTGACTTCGCCACATGCAGACATTTAGATTTCTAGTTTCTCAAGTTGCTAGATCATTTACTATTGCCCAGACCAGCCTGGGCAATACAGTGAGACACCACCTCCACAAAAAAAAGTGAAACAATTAGCTGGGTGTGGTGGTGCATGCCTGTAGTCTCAGCTACTGGAGAGGCTAAGGCAGGAGGATTGCTTGAACCCAGTGGGTGCAAGGCTGCAGTGAGCTATGATCTTGCCATTGTGCCTGGTCTTGAACTCCTGGGCTCAGGCAATCCTCCTGCTTCAGACTCCCAAAGTGCTGAGATTACAGGCATGAGCCACTGCACCTGGCCAAGATGTAATTTTCAAGTTCTCTTTTTAAATTTTTAGCTATGATTCTCCTGTAAAGAAAAAATGTTTCTTCATTGACCATTTGGTTACCTGACATGTAATTCCTACAGGAAACACAAGACAAATGCTTTACTCTTTATCTTTTCTTATCAGTGTACAAAATAATGAGTTGATGCCCTGGCAATCCCAAAGGTGTCCTATAAGAGTTTTTTTTCTTTGACTCGGATTTTTATCTTTGATGTACCCATTGAGTACCCAATGTACTCAACCCATTGCAGGCCTTATTCCCTTTAATGATCTAATTGTCCTATCTATGGCAATGGGAGTCCCTTCAAGTTGGCTTCACTGTGCTACAGATATGATCCCATTCATCTCAGGTTGCTTCCTTGTATTAAGGCACAACAAGATGCCTTGAGGCTTATAATATACAATTCCTGCCTGCCTCAGACTTTGAATCAACCGTATTCTATAGAGATCAGAATTATCTTAGTAGAAAATAGTATTTAGAAACTAAATTAAGCTGAGAATAGTGGCTCATGCCTGTAATCCCGGCACTTTGGAAGGCTGAGGCGGGTGGATTGCTTGGGGTCAAGAGTTCAAGACCAGTGTGGGCAACTTGGTGAAACCCCATCTCTACTAAAAATACGAAAATCGGCCGGGCGCGGTGGCTCAAGCCTGTAATCCCAGCACTTTGGGAGGCCGAGGCGGGTGGATCACGAGGTCGAGAGATCGAGACCATCCTGGTCAACATGGTGAAACCCCGTCTCTACTAAAAATACAAAAAAAATTAGCTGGGCATGGTGGCACGTGCCTGTAATCCCAGCTACTCAGGAGGCTGAGGCAGGAGAATTGCCTGAACCCAGGAGGCGGAGGTTGCGGTGAGCCGAGATCGCGCCATTGCACTCCAGCCTGGGTAACAAGAGCGAAACTCCGCCTCAAAAAAAAAAAAAAAAAAAAAAAAAACCAAAAACGAAAATCAGCCAGGGATAAAAAACATTTTAAATAAATAAATAAAAATTAGCCAGGCATGGTGGCATACACCCGTAATCCCAGCTACTTGGGATGCTGGGCCAGGAAAATCACTTGAACCTGGGAGGTTGCAGTGAGTTGAGATTACGCCACTGCACTCCAACCTGGATGACAGAGCCAGACTCTGTTTCAAAAAAAAAAAAAAACACCTATAAATTGTCACTAAGAATGCTTATTGCTACTGGGTTGTCATTGCTTCTTGGGACTGACAATGGGCTGAGCTCGGAAATATCTTTTTTTTAAAAGAGAAAACTAAATCTTGAGTTCAAACTAATATTTCCAATTCAAATTCAATAATACTTTAAGCTGGGCATGGTGGTATGCACCTGTAGTTTCAGCTACTTGGGAGGCTGAGGTGGCAGAAGTGCTTGAGCCCAGGAATTCAAGTCCAGTCTGGGCAATATAGTGAGACTCTGTCTCTTAAAAAAGATAATAACTTATAGGCTCTTTACTCTGGTTCTTTATTTTATACCTCCTTTTAATGCTAAAATCTTGATCCCTAATAATATTCACAAAATTACATTAACTTATTTTCTTTATCCATACGTGTGTGTGTTTCAAAATAATATACTAATAATGGCCGGGCACAATAGCTCACGCCTGTAATCCCAGCACTATGGGAGGCCAAGGCGGGTGGATCACCTGAGGTTGAGTTCAAGATCAGCCTGGCCAACATAGTGAAACCCCAGCTCTACTACAAATATACAAATTAGCTAGGTGCAGTGGTGCACACCGGCAATCCCAGTTCCTTGGGAGGCTGAAGAGCCGAGATTGCACCACAGTGCTCCAGCCTGAGGGACAGAACAAGACTCTGTCTCAAATAAAAATAATAAAATAAAATAATACACCAATATTATCATGAACAGTGAGATTATCAAATGCAATTTAGTATTTCCTTGTGGTTCTTTTTGTCCTGATACATTTTAACCTTAGCTGAAGGATAATTTAATGGGACAAATCATTTTTGTACCAGCCTGACACCATTGTTCCTTAATTAGGAGTAAAGGGAGCTAAGTGCAAAAGCTCAAGTCACATCAGTTTTTAGACCATTTCCCTTCCAACCAGCATCCTGAGATAAAAACATAAGGTCTGGATGAAAAAGTCTTCAGGGAATGGATATAAACACTAGAGGAACAAATCAGCCTACTAAGTAACATGGGGTCAGTGAGCTGAAAGAGTAAGAGGCCAGGAAAGAAATCATGAGCATAATTCTCATTAAACAGGCATGGTAAGTCAGACTGACAGGCAGCTGCAAATTTTCTCAGCAGGAGCTATAGTGAAATGCTGCTTAGCAACATCCGAAGGCAGATGACAATGACGACCATACAAAGAGCTGGAGAATCAGATTTAAGCATGACAATCATACCATCTTACAGCTGCCTATTGACCAACCAAGCAACAACTAATTCTGGTTAAGTGGTCAAATCTGGTGACTGTAATGCCTTTGCTTTATTACTTTTATTTCCTATCTTTTTTAAAGGTGGAAAAAATAATGTCTGCACCAATAAAATTCAGGCACAGCCTTGCATAGTGATACTACTCTGAAAGCATTTTTAAAAACATCTTACAACTTTACAGGATGTTGTGAAGATTGGCTGTGAGTTAGTGGACCCATAAAATTCAAGGTGATCTCATTATTATTTGTGATTTCTTTTCTTCAGATTGAATGTATAATCATTTTCAAGTTTTGATACACATTAGAATCATCCATGGAGCTTGAGTAGGATAGAGATTCTAATGCAGACATGCTGAATCAGAATCTTTAAGCTTGGGCTGGCTATCAATATTTTGAAAAAGATCCCAGATAATTTTTTTTTGCCTCAAAGTTGAAAATTACTATAACATAACATATAATCATTTAAGACAAAATTTTATGTGCATGAGAATCACCTCGGGAGCTTGTTAAACACATGGAGTCTCAGGACATTGGGAAGTTTTGAATTCAGTTGGCCTGGTGTGGGCTATGTAATTTCCTGTATTTAACCAGCATTCCAAGAAACACCTCATGACACAGGTGTCATCAAATCACACTCTGAGCAACATTTTAAAACTTTTTGGTGGGTGGGGGAGAATGCAAAGAAAACAAAATAGGCAAATACCACCAGGCTGGGGTCCAGAATGTGGCAACTACTGACCTGAGTAATGTTTGTAAATATCTGCTCAGACATTCTCTCGCACAGAACCACCATCAGCTGCAGGACAAGCAGCTTCTGCTCTTGGCCTTCCACAAGAAGAGTCTGATGTTGCTCTAATTCCAAGAGGCTCTTGCTGGAGAAGGGCTTAGTTTTTAACTCTGCTTCATTTTCTGTGGCCACATGAGTCAACTCCTACAAGGATGGCAGGGAAGAAAAAGTGAAGATAAAGCCAGTAGAACTAAGGCCTTCCCAAACTAAGGCCTTCTGTTTGAACTGTATGTTTAAAGAAATAGTCTGTGTTTGTGGCAACATTATTTGTAATAGCCAAAACTTGGAGACAACCTAAATGTGCAGCAATAAGAAAACATTATGATGTATTTATTATAGCACAGCAGTTAATATAAATGAATTAGATTTATATGGGTATCAGTATACTATTGAGTGAAAAATACAAGTTGCAGAATATGTACAGTATGATGTCATGTATATAAAAATGTAAAATCTCATTAAAAAATATATACACACACAAAGAAATAGTTTGACAAGCTTTTTGTTTTGTGAGCATTTTCATGATTTCTACTAGCGGTCTTCCTTGAACTGAGACCTCAGACCACCTCACATTCTCAAACCCCTTCTGGAAACCATTAGATGCCTCCAACACTACTGCTCTTTTCCTCTAACATACTTAGAACTAAACTCCTACTAAGAAATCACGTATTACTGTGGGTTTTGTAGACTATTCACCTACCCTTCACTGTTGTAAATTTCCTTGGGAAGTAAAAACCTTGAGTTTCCTAATAAATAATTAGGGCTTTACCAAAGTAATTGACAGTTTAGAGTAGCGGTACTCAACTGTGCCTGGGCAATTTTCCTCCTCAGGGGACATTTCACAATGTCTGGGATATTTTGGCTGTCTTAATTGAGGGGTAATCTAATTAGTGGAGGTCAGAATGCTTCTAAATACCCTACAATGCACAAGACAGTCACTCACAAAAAAAATTTATCTGGCCCAAGGTGTCAGTAGTGTCAGGGTGGAGATAACCTGTTTTAGAGCAAAGTTCTTTTATTTGTTTGCTTGTCTATTAAACATTTTTTTTTTTTGAGGCAAGGTCTCACTCTGTCACCCAGGCCGGAGTGGATTGGTAACATCTTGGCTCACTGAAACCTCTGTCTCCTGGGTTTAAGCGATCCTGTCACCTTAGCCCGCTGAGTAGTTGGGACTACAGGCATAAGCCAGCATGCCAGGCTAATTTTTTGTGTTTTTGGTAGAGACAGGGTTTTGCCATGCTTCCCAGGCTAGTCTTGAATGCCTGAGCTCAGGTGATCCACCTGGCTTGGCCTCCCAAAGTGCTGGGATTACGAGCGTGAGCTACCATGCCCAGCCTGGAACAATTTTTTGAAGTATACAATTAAGAGCATATCCCCTTGGAATGTTATTTAGAAAGAGTATCACTAGGCATGAGGATAGGTGTGAACATGGGAGGCAAGAAAGCATCAAAAAGTGTCCCCTACTTCAAGTTCTAGAAATGTTAGCCCTGATTCCCTCCTTGAATTCTCCCACGCCCAAAGAAACCTTAAACTCTCTTAGATTTCTTTTAGAGTAGACACTTTAGGAGAAAGAGTTGAGAAAGCAGAGCTGAAGGTCACTGGCTTATCATGTCATATAGTGCAACAAAGAGTAACATTATGGGGTACAAGTTACTGTCAGAGAATAGAAGAAAAGGAAGCAAAGCACAACCACTGGCACTAAGAAACAAACCCAGAAAAGGCTTTAAGTGCCCACAAAATGAAATGAAAGAGGCAAAATTGCTAAATCTCCTTTGCAAATACCTGACAAAACAACAGTCAGAAGGATAAGGGATTACTCTACAGCTGTAAAACCTGCTATTAACTTCAAAAGGGTTCTTACTGTCAACATGGAGCAAAGATTAATTCTTTCATAGATTGAGGGGCCTGCTTTGTTCATCTCTAAAATGTCAGTGCCAATTACTTGGGGAAGTAGTAGATAACATGGTTATAATGAAGGTAAGTTTCTTCTTTTTACCAATCCAAAGGCCACTAAAAAATGAATTCCTTTATGTTCTCTGATCATTTTCCCTAAAATAGGACCTAAATTTTAGGACCTAAAATTATAAATGCCTTGAAAATTCAAAGGGTCTCCTGAAACTCCCCTGGAATAACAATGACCAGGAACTACTTGTACTTCTTACTTTCAAACAGAAGATGAAGAAGTCTCCTGCCAAACCGCATTCTTGGCAGAGAGACAGCAAGTCCCCAAGATGCTCCACCCGGTCCTGCTCTGAGCATACCTTCTGGTACAGGGCTTCATCTTCATCTTCGTCACTGCAATGAAGGGTAAAATTAACCTTGGCAGTGTCACCAGAGATACACATATTTTTAAACCCCACGGAAATCTCCTAAAGTAACATGTGATGTCCAAACAATCATTAAAAAGATCCCCAAAATTTATTTAACTTATTTCTCCATTCTGAAAAAAGTATTGATTCTCATAAAGAAGTCTATTATGTCCTGCATGGTCATTTGCTCGAATAGGGAAAGATTCATGAAGATGGATGTTAGCCGGACACAGTGGTACACACCTGTAGTGTACTAGGAGGCTGAGGCAGGGAGACTGCTTGAGCTCAGGAGTTTGAGGTTGTAATACATTATGATCACAACTATGAACAGCCACTGCACTCCAGCCAACAGACAACATGGCAAAATCTCAGTTCTTTTTTTTTTTTTTTTTTGGAGATGGAGTCTCACTCTGTTGCCCAAGTTGGAGTGCAGTGACACGATCTCAGCTCACTGCAACCTCCATCTCCTGGGTTCAAACAGTTCTCCTGCCTCAGCTTCCTGAGTAGCTAGTACCACAGATGCACACCTCCATGCCTGGCTAATTTTTTGTATTTTAGTAGAGATGGGGTTTCACCCTGTTGCCCAGGCTGGTTTCAAACCCCTGAGCTCAGGCAATCCACCCACCTCGGCCTCCCAAAGTGTTAGGATTACAGGCGTGAGCCACTGCACCCGGCAGATCTCATTTCTAAAAAAAAAAAAAGCTGGATGTTGAAGAATTACTATTATTTCATAAGTTGCAAAAGCAAGGAGGAAGCCGGGCGCGGTGGCTCAAGCCTGTAATCCCAGCACTTTGGGAGGCCGAGGCGGGTGGATCACAAGGTCAAGAGATCGAGACCATCCTGGTCAACACGGTGAAACCCCGTCTCTACTAAAAATACAAAAAACTAGCTGGGCATGGTGGCGCCTGCCTGTAATCCCAGCTACTCAGGAGGCTGAGGCAGGAGAATTGCCTGAACCCAGGAGGCGGAGGTTGCGGTGAGCCGAGATCGCACCATTGCACTCCAGCCTGGGTAACAAGAGCGAAACTCCGTCTCAAAAAAAAAAAAAAAAAAAAAAAAAGCAAGGAGGAATTAAAGTATAAGTTACATGCAGATATTCTGGGTCCTGAGGAAAAACAAAGAACGAGACGGCTACAAAGTAAGGCTAGATCACAGAGGGCCAAAAAAAAAAAAAAAAAAAAGGAAAAAAAAAATCACAAAGGGCCTTAGATGTCATTCAAAGGAACTCTGACTTTTTAATTGTATTTTAATTTTTCCTGGCAGCTTTAATTTTTTTTTTTTAAAGGAACTCTGACTTTTTTCTGATGAGCCACTGAAGAGTTATGGGCAGCAGAAGACATGATCATCATGGGAAGACATGTAGTCAACCTCAACTGAAACGAACCAATTAGCTGAAACAGGAAAATGCATAAAGGTTCGGAAAAATGAGTAGGTTGAATGTGATTGCCAAGGCCAGGGTGGTCTTACAAAATCTGCCTATACCAGTGCTATGATTACTGCAAAAATTTCAAGGTTTGTTTGCTTGTTTTGAGACAGGGTCTCACTTGTTGCCTAGGCTGGAGTGCAGTGGTTCGTTCATGGCTCACTGCAGCCTCAACCTCCAAGGCTGAGGCAATCCTCCCACTTCAGCCTCCCAAGCAACTGGGACTACAGAGGTGCATTATCATGACCAACTAATTTTTGTATTTTTTTGTAGAGACTAGGTTCTGACATATTGCCCAGGCTGGTCAAGAAATTTTTGTACTTTCTCATGAGGTGCTATGGCTTTTAGTTTTTAATTCTTCCGACAGGTGAAGAGACCGAGATACTATGTGTGTGTATATATATGTATATGTATATATATATGTATATATGTATATGTATACATATATATGATAAATATATATATATACACATATACACACATACACATACACACTTTTTCACTTTTTTTTTTTTTTTTTAAAGAAATGGGGTCTTGCTATATTGCCCAGGCTGGTCTTAAACTCCTGGTCTCAAGCAGTCCTTACACCTTGGCCTCCCAAAGTGCTGGAATTACCAGTATGAGCCACTGAAACCAGCCCAAGATACTATATTATTATACCACATCATCATGTAAACAAATACAAAGGCACTGAAGATGTACTAAAAAGCAAAATGCTAATACAATGTGAACAGGAAATAAGACACTGGTTGACTTTTGTTTTCTTCATGTGCTTTTTGTATTATACAAAGAATATGTGTTATTTCTGTGACCAATGAAATAAATTTTTTTCAGGCTAAATTGAGAAAAAAATGACGGATGTTGCCGAGTGAGGTGGCTCAGGCCTGTAATCCCAGCACTTTGGGAGGCTGAGGCAGGTGGATCACAAGGTCAGGAGTTCAACACCAGCCTGGCCAACACAGTGAAACCCCGTCTCTACTAAAAATACAAAAAATAGCTGGGCATGGTGGTGGGTGCTTGTAGTCCCACCTACTTGGGAGGTTGAGGCAGGAGAATTGCTTGAACCCGGGAGGTAGAGCTTACAGTGAGCTGAGATTGTGCCACTGCACTCCATCTTGAAGTGACAGAGCCAGACTCGGCCTCAAAAACAAAACAAAACAAAAACACAGGACAATTATCTTAAGTACTACTCTTAAAATTTCAACAATAAAAAGTGAATTCCAAACAATTATATTTAATTCCAGAAAAGTAAAAACTCTAGATCTAAAGATCACAAAATCCAAGCTGCTCTTATAGAGTTTCTTTACAGAGTCTTGCTCTGTCCCCCAGGCTGGAGTGCAACCCCCACCTCCCAGGTTCAAGTAACAGTCTTGCCTCAGTCTCCCGAGTAGCTGGGACTACAGGTACCTGCCACCACAACTGGATAATTTTTGTATTTTTAGTAGAGATGGGGTTTAACCATGTTGGCCAGGGTGGTCTTGAACTCTTGACCTCAACTGATCCACCCACCTGGGCCTCCCAAAGTGCTGGGATTACAGGCATGAGCCACTGAACCAGACCCATTTTTTTTTTTTTGAGAGTCTCATTCTGTTACCCCAGCTGGAGTGCAGTGATGCAATCCCAGCTCACTGCAACTTCTGCTTCACGGTTCAAGCAATTCTTGTGCCTCAGCCTCACAAGTAGCCAGCACTACAGGCATGAACCACCATGCCTGGCTAATTTTTGTATTTTTGTGGCTTTTTTTTTTTTTTTTTTTTTGAGTTGGAGTTTCGCTCTTGTTATCCAGGCTGGAGTGCAATGGCACCATCTCTGCTCACTGCAACCTCCGCCTCCTGGGTTCAAGCAATTCTCCTGCCTCAGCTTCCTGAGTAGCTGGGACTACAGGCGTGCACCACCATGCCCAGCTAATTTTTGTATTTTTAGTAGAGACGGGGTTTCACCATGTTGACCAGAATGGTCTAGATCTCTTGATCTCATGATCCACCCGCCTCGGCCTCCCAAAGTGCTGGCATTACAGGTGTAAGCCACCACGCCAGGCCTTTTTCTTTTTTTTTCAGACGGAGTTTCACTCTTGTTACCCAGGCTGGAGTGCAATTGTGTGATCTCGGCTCACCGCAACCTCCGCCTCCTGGGTTCAAGCAATTCTCCTGCCTCAGCCTCCTGAGTAGCTGGGAACACAGGCACGCACCACCATGTCCAGCTAATTTTTTTGTATTTTTAGTTGAGACAGGGTTTCACCATGTTGACCAGGATGGTCTCGATCTCTCGACCTTGTGATCCACCCGCCTCGGCCTCCCAAAGTGCTTGGATTACAGGCGTGAGCCACTGCGCCTGGCCCTCTTTTTTTTTTTTTTTTTTAAGACAGAGTCTTGCTCTGTTGCCAGGCACCAGGCTGGAGTGCAGTGGTGCAATCTCAGCTCACTGCAATCTCCGCCTCCTGGGTTCAAGCAATTCTCCTGCCTCAGCCTCCCGAGTAGTTGGGAGTACAGGCGCACACCACTATACCCAGCTAATTTTTTTGTATTTTGTAGTAGAGACAGGGTTTCACCATGTTGGTCAAAATGGTCTCGATCTCTTGACCTCATGATCCACCCACCTTGGCCTCCCAAAGTGCTGGATTACAGGTGTGAGCCACCATGTCTGGCGTAATTTTTGTATTTTTAATAGAGATGGGGTTTCACCATGTTGGCCAGGCTGGTCTGAAACTCCTAACCTCAGGTGATCCACCTGCCTCAGCCTCATAAAGTGCTGGGATTACAGGTGTAAGCCACTGTGCCTGGCCAAAAACATCTTCTTGAGAACTGTTGCTAGGCAGAATGGCAGTTTGAGTTTGTATTGATAATTTTGTTTGCAATCTATGAGTTTTTCTATTTTCCTCAAGTCCATCAAACTGAAGAGGTGTTTTAAAACTATACCAAGTTAACTATGAATATATAATATTTCAATACCTCAACACACAGCAGCACTTTGAATGTGATGTGAAATCCAAACAGGATAGCTGTTATCCATTAATATTACATGGATTATGACCAACAGGAATCTGTTGGTCATAATCCATGTAATAATCTGAGGTAATAACATCAGATTATCCAGAAAGTGGAAATAATTTAAAATATACAATTGTTGGCCGGGCGCGGTGGCTCAAGCCTGTAATCCCAGCACTTTGGGAGGCCGAGGTGGGTGGATCACGAGGTCAAGAGATCGAGACCAACGTGGTCAACATGGTGAAACCCCGTCTCTACTAAAAATACAAAAAATTGGCTGGGCATGGTAGCGCGTGCCTGTAATCCCAGCTACTCAGGAGGCTGAGGCAGGAGAATTGCCTGAACCTAGGAGGCGCAGGTTGCAGTGAGCCGAGATTGTGCCATTGCACTCCAGCCTGGGTAACGAGAGCGAAACTCCGTCTCAAAAAAATAAAATAAAATAAAATAAAATAAAATATACAATTGTGAGATGTTGGAGAAATAAATGATCCATTCCACTAATATTTATTAAGTATTTTCTAATCAATACCTATGAGAAATCTCCATCATAAAATTAGCACAAAAGATAGCTATTAGACAATTTCCCTCAGGAATAAGTCTCACTATAAACACACACATATACCATTTTGAGAGTCAGAAAGAGAATTGGATTATTACGGTGTTAAGGGTGAACATGTGTCTGTCCTTTACTTTGATTAACTGGCAAAGATGGTGGAGTAAGTGGGCTTGTTATGATGCAGAGCTGTGAGGCTCCAGTAAACTGCACCAATTATTAGCAGGCACCTTGGAAAAAACCTGGAGGATTAATTAAGGCTCACATTTCATTTAGAGAATATAAACTAGCAGGCACCTCAGCGACACGAGTTTCTGGTTTCTTTTCTATCAGCACCCCTTAGTGGTTGAATCACTGAATGGCCTTTTAGGCAAAATTAAATCTGAAGAGAGACAGTAATGGATGGGTGGACTCACCTAATGGCCTCTTTGATGGTAATCATAATGCCACCTTGAGTGGCGACTCTAAACTGACACAGAGAATGGAGAGAGGGCACAGCTTTGTCCAACCCTGCAAATCCTTTCAGGCTGGCAATTGCCTTCTTCCTTTCCAGCTTCCCCAGAATCCATAATAAGATCTCTTGGCAAAGTGACCTGGCAGAAAAAGCAGTTATGAATGAGCTTGTCATCTTACTCCATGCATCTAACAAGCTAACATAAAAAAAGAAAGAAAGGCTGTCAGGTTCCACTGCATTCTAAATGCTGGCACAATTTCCTAGTACTACTGAAATGAAGGAGAGGCAAGTATGCTTCTTGTGAATTTCAGAATGCAAATATCCTGAAATTCAATGACTGACTAATCCTTGGCTCTGGAAGCAACCCTGATATGCCACAAGAGCCCCACGTGATTTCTTTTTCCTTTTTTTTTTTTTTTTTGGTAATTCCAAGTGAACTACTGCCTTTGCATCAGGCACTGTCAGAGAAAGTATACACGGATAAAAACCATCTACTCTCAGCAGGACTAATAGCTGGACACCAAGAAGCAGCATATCAACAAAATATCACTGATTCCTCAACCCCTTCAATCTGTGCCAGTCAACTAGGAGAGGAACTAAATCAATGTTCACACGCTCCTCAGTCAGTCTCTGATGAGAACATGACAGTGCTGTGAGAACTTGGGTTTTAAAACAAAAACAAGAGGTCTGGCGCAGTGGCTAACACCTGTAATCCCAGCATTTTGGGAGGCTGAGGCAGATTAATCATCTGAGGTCAGGTGTTCAATATCAGCCTGGCCAACATGGTAAAACCCCGTCTCTACTAAAAACACAAAAACTGGCCAGAAGCAGTTGCTCATGCCTGTAATCCTAGCACTTTGGAAGGTGGGTCACGACATCAAGAGATTGAGACCATCCTGGCCAACATGGTGAAACCCCATCTCTACTAAAAATACAAAAAATTAGCGGGGTATGGTGGCAGGCACCTGTAATCCCAGCTACTTGGGAGACTGAGGTAGGAGAACTGCTTGAACCTGGGAGGCAGAGGTTGCAATGAACTGAGATCAAGCCACTTGCACTCCAGCCTGGGTGACAGAGTGAGACTCTGCTCAAAAAAAAAACCACCAAAAAACAAAAAAAACAAAAACCAAAAAAACAAACAAACACAAAACCTAGCCTGGCATGGTGGCAGGTGCCTGTAATCCCAGCTACCCAGGGGGCTGAGGCAGGAAAATCACTTGAACCCAGGGGGCGGAGATCACGCCACTGCCCCCAAGTCTGGGTGACAGAGTGAGACTCTGTCTCAAAAAAAAAAAAAAAAAACAAAAACAAGAGTTATTTTGTGGACTGTCCCTTGAAACCAAGTTCACAGATGTACAGTCTCCCTCTTCCACTGTATTCTCTCTTGTCATTGCCGTCGTGGCTGCGGGCTACAATGGTGTGCTGACCCAAACTGAAGAGCCGAGAACATTATGTAAGCTTTGAATAGTACAAAAGATGGTGTTTCCTCCACCACTTAGCAATGGTGATAATGATAGCTACCATTTACTGAGCTTACTATTTGCCGGGGACTGTGCTAAACACATTAATGCATATTTAGTCTTCACAATAACTCTGTGAAGAAGGTACTATTATTGTATATTGGATTACATGCGGGGATCACCAAACACCAAAAATCATAATTCTGTAGGACTTGACATAGGATAACTATTACCTGGAGGAAGAAACAACATAAATTACTGTAAAAATGGAGCTGATACAAAATGAATGGAGCTAATACTTAAATACTATGACAAAGGAGTATTTTCTGGATGACGAAGAAATCCCTTCTTTCTAAACAACACACTGCATCACCAACACCAAATCCCAGGCTAAATTACAAAGTGCCACATTCAGGATCTAGATTCCCAACTTGTTTTCTAACTCCCCACAAAGTCATTATGATCCATCCCCTATTTCCACCTTCCTAGACAAGTTACTGTAGCATTTCTCACTGATCAAAAAGTGGCAAGTTTATACATGTAAACAGAGATTTTATCTTTGAGATCCAGGACAGAGGCTGAGGAAAGGCATTCTAAAAACTGTATCCAGTGCTCTGGGATCTGCAAAATTCTCTTTCTTTTCTAGATGAGCAAAATAGGAAGAGCCCAGTGCTTTTCTGACTGAAAGAAAATGGTAATTTCAAAGTGGCAAAGTCTTATATTCAAAATAAGAACAAAAACAACATGCAAAAAAGGTGTCACAATTTATAAACAAATAAAATTCTATTTACAAACAAATAAGGGTCTCTTGACTGTTTACCTTATGTGAGATACACTCTGCTTAGTAAAACAGTAGAGAAGAAAAAGAACTCCCAGGACTGGAAGCAGAGAATCCATCAAAACTGTTAAAGGTTCATTCCCAACCACGTACACCTAGGGAAAAGGAAATGGTGAAGAATAATCCCATGACTGCCTGGCCAGAGCAATGAGAATCACATACCAGACACCTAGCAGGGCTCAGTGTCTTTTTTTTCGAGAGGGAGTTTCACTCTTGTTGCCAAGGCTGGAGTGCAATGGTATGATCTCGGCTCACTGCAACCTCTGCCTCCCAGGTTCAAGCAATTTTCCTGCCTCAGCCTCCCAAGTAGCTGGGATTATAGGCATGTGCCATCAAGCCCAGCTAATTTTTCTATTTTTAGTAAAGACGAGGTTTCACCATGTTAGCCAGGCTGGTCTCGAACTCCTGACCCTGTGATCCTCCCACCTCAGCCTCCCAAAGTGCTGAGATTACAGGTGTGAGCCACCATGCCTGGCCAGGGCTCAGTGTCTTAAGCAATATCTCACCCTAATCATACTATTTTAGCTCCAAGGATATGCTGAGATATGGCAATGAAACCATTTGAGTTTGGTAGACAGGCTAAAACAAGAGAGGGAACTGGAGCAGCAGCATTTCATGTGTGCAGTCTCTAGAACTGCCTAGAATGGGTCAACCAACCCATTTTCTGACCTCTTCCTTTCCTACTTTTGACTATGTCTGAGTTTCCTAATCTGCCTATTGTTTAATTATTTGATAACTGGCCTTCTGCTGAAGACCCTGCTATTAGAAACAAGTAATTACTACCAAAGGGAAAAACTTAAAACTAGATTTGAAAAATCAAACAAAACCAAACCCAAAACATTTCTTTTTTTTTTTTTTTTTTGAGACTGGAGTTTCACTCTTGTTACCCAGGCTGGAGTGCAATGGCGCGATCTCGGCTCACCGCAACCTCTGCCTCCTGGGTTCAAGCAATTCTCCTGCCTCAGCCTCCTGAGTAGCTGGGATTACAGGCACACGCCACCATGCCCAGCTTATTTTTTTGTATTTTTAGTAGAGACGGGGTTTCACCATGTTGACCAGGATGGTCTCGATCTCTTGACCTCGTGATCCACCCGCCTCGGCCTCCCAAAGTGCTGGGATTACAGGCTTGAGCCACTGCGCCCGGCCCCAAAACATTTCTTACTCGAGATTCATCACTCTTAAGATGTGACCAACACATGGACATGTCCTATTCTCCCTAATTCTACAAATGTTCAAAGAAATTATACTGTAGAGCTGGGCACAATGACTCATGTCTGCAATCCCAGCATTTCTGGAAGTCATGGAGGGAGGATTATTTGAGGCCAGGAGTTCAAGCCCAGCTGTGCAACAGAGCAAGACCCCATCCCTACAAAAAAAATTTAAAAATTAGCCAGGTGTGATAGTGCACGCCTACAGTCCCAACTACTTGGGAGGCTGAGGCAGGAAGATCATTTGAGCCCAGGAATTCAAAGCTGCAATAAGCTATGATTATGCTACTGCCCTCCAGCCTGGGTGGCAGAGCAAGACCCTGTCTCTTAAAAAAAAGAAAAGTGGCTGGGCACGGTGGCTCATGCCTGTAATTCCAGCACATTGGGAGGCCAAGGTGGGTGGATCACCTAAGGTTGGGAGATCGAGACCAGCCTAACCGACATGGAGAAATCCCATCTCTACAAAAAAAAAAAAAAGAAAGAAAGAAAGAAAAAAAAAAGTAATTGCACTGTTCACCTAGATCTGTACTGGCTCTACACAGTTAAGTGTGTGAGATGTTGACTATGAAAAGAATTTAAAAAAAAAGACAAGTGTGTGCGGATGGTGACTTTTTTTTTTTTTAATAGAGATTTGGTTCACAGCCAAAGATGGTGACTTTTATTAACAATCATAATGTTGCATATTTTAGTTGTACCTTTCAATAAGGCCAGCACAAATGCACTGAATTCAACAAACTTTTACTGAACACTCACTGAGTCCAAAGTACAGTTCTAGGTATGGTAGTAAATATAAAAATCAGTAAGGGTCATTATCTTCATATTGCTTGTAACATATGAGAAGACTAAAACAAGTAAACATATTATTTTTATTATTATTTAAGATGTGGTCTCTCTCACCCAGGCTAGAATGTAGTGGTGAAATCATAGCTCACTGCAGTCTCGATCTCTAAGCTCAAGCAATAGTCCCATTTCAGCCTCCTGGATAGCTGGGACCAAAGGCACACACCACCATGCACAACTAGTTTTTTGTATTTTTAGTAGAGATGGGGTTTTGGCATGTTGCCTGGGCTGGTCTCGAACTCCTGGGCTCAAGCAATCCTCCTGCCTTGTCCTCCCACAGTGCTGGCATTACAAGCACCAGCCACTGCATCCAGCCAAGTAAACCAATAATAACGATAAAGCAGATAACTGAAAGTATCTTAAGAAGTGCAAAAACATTATTCAAAACGCCAATTAAACACAATAGGATTTCAAAATGTAATTCTGTTATAATAAGTTAATTACAACCTGATAGTATGGACAGTGACAATGGTAAAAAGAGAAAGAAAAGGAGCTGACAATGATTATGCTCATGGTATATGTTCCAGGACCTACAATAGGTTTTTATCTTCCAAGTACTATGCTAGATTCTTTAAAGAGTTAGCTTGTTAAAATTATAACAGTCTCACGAAGTCAGAATTAACAGCCCTATTTTGAGGGTGAAGGGGGCCCAGTGAGATGGTTCACACCTGTAATCTCCATACTTAGCGATGCCAAGGAGGGAGGATCACTTGAGCCCAGGAGTTTGAGAACAGCCTAGGCAACACGGTGAGACCCCATCTCTATTAAAAATAAATAAAATAAAATAAAGGTGAGGGAAGGGAAGCTTAAAGAGGCCCTTATTTATAGAAAGAGTATTGAAATAGGAATCAATGTTGTTCATAAGAAACTAAAGATCATGGAGGCACTTTCACGAGCTGGAAAAAAATCTCTGTGCTTTCCCAGCGAATCCTGTCTCTTTAAAATCAGTACTAATTTTTCACATCCCTTAAGCCCCTGACTCCTCTCTGGAGTCTGTTAGCCAAGGAACCAGCTTCCTGTGCATGATCTAATCTCCATAAGCCCAACTAAATGAAGCACTGTGTACAGCAGCATTCAGAAGTCATGTGCAGGCCCAATGATGATATCACCAATTACAAGAGGCAAAAGAAGAGATTCCCCAGATAACGTAAGGACTTATTGTTCAGCTTTGGATCCTGTGTTCTCAGAGGTAATCTCTGTGGAGCCATCCTTCCTTACCAGGATTTTTTGTACAAAATAAATAAATAAATAAACCCCAAAACAACAACCAAAAAAAAAAAAAAAACAAATGGAGTTAAGTCTTCATTATTTACTAGCTTGATAGGGCGAAAGCACCCCAAACTTTAACATGAACTCAATTGAGCACACTCCTTAGGGGTAAGAGTTGTTGTTGATAAACTCCTCTAACTTGGCCAGAGGCTGTGCCCCATGCCTATAATCCCAGCACTTTGGGAGGCCATGGTGGGTGGGTCATCTGAGGTCAGGAGTTTGACACCAGCCTGACCAACGTGGTGAAACCCTGTCTCTACTAACAAAACAAAGTTAGCTGTGCGTGGTGGCACAGCTGTAATCCAAGCTACTTGAGAGGCTGAGGCAGGAGAATTGCTTGAACCCAGGAGGTGGAAGTTGCAGTGAGCAGAGATCACGCCATTGCACTCCAGCCTGGGCAACAAGAATGAAACACTGTCTCAAAAAAAAAAAAAAAAAAAAAAAAATTCCGGTAGTTTTTTCTTTGCTTCTTCCTTACACTTTTCTTTTTCTTTTTCTTTTTTTTTTTTTTTTTTTTTGAGACGGAGCTTCGCTCTTCTTACCCAGGCTGGAGTGCAATGGCACAATCTCGGCTCACCGCAACCTCCGCTTCCTGGGTTCAGGCAATTCTCCTGCCTCAGCCTCCTGAGTAGCTGGGATTACAGGCACGCGCCACCATGCCCAGCTAATTTTTTTTGTATTTTTAGTAGAGACGGGGTTTCACCATGTTGACCAGGATGGTCTCGATCTCTTGACCTTGTGATCCACCCGCCTCGGCCTCCCAAAGTGCTGGGATTACAGGCTTGAGTCACCGCGCCCGGCCCCCTTACACGTTTATCTTCTTACAAGGAACAAGTACTACTTTTATATTTGGAAAGTAACGTACAGCTATTTATACATATATATTATTTATTTTTATATAAAGGTTCAACAAATGTGTACTGAGTGCCATTTTTGTGCTAGCACACTTGCAGCTCTGCAGATATGGTGCTGAACAATGTATCTGCTTCAAGGAGCTAATATTCGAATTGGAAAGACAGGCAAGAAACGACTATATAATACCAAGTAGTGACAAGTGCTAGGCAGAAAGTAAAGCAGGTTAAATGGATAGTGATGAGGGCACGCCTGTAATCCCAGCTACTCAGGATGCTGAGGCAGGACAATCACTTGAACCCAGGAGACAGAGGTTGTAGTGAGTCAAGATCACACCATGGCATTCCAGCCTGGGCAACAGAGCAAGAAGCTGTCTCAAAAAAATAGAATAACCCTTATCAATTTACCAACTAGCATCTATCAAGTTCACAGAAACAGAGAAATAGGACTTTTTTTTTTCTTAGTGAAAAGACTTAGAATTATGGTTTCCTTTTGGTTCAATCTGATAAATAAATGTTTTCTACATATCTCTTTTATTCGTATCATTTTTTTTTAGATGGAGTCTCACTCTGTCACCCAGGCTGGAGTGCAGGTGGCATGATCTCAGCTCACTGCAACCTCAACCTCCCAAGTAGCTGGGACTACAGGCATGTGCCACCATGCATGGCTAATTTTAGTAGAGACGAAGTTTCATCATGTTGGCCAGGCTGGTACAGTATCTTAAAGAATGTCAACTGGCCTTTCCTTGATACATACACAATTGTCACCTACTTTCCAACACTAATAGTAAATTTCTTCTGTACTGAGCTAAAATCTAACTCCCTTTAAACTTCCCTGATGGAAGTACACGTATCATTTACAAGTTTTGGGCTGGGTGCAATGGCTCATGCCTAAAATCCCAGCACTTTGAGGCTGAGATGGGAAGA